CTGGGGACAGTGAACCAGGAAGGGGTTGGGAAATGAGCCCAGGCTTGGCTGCTTTGGCTCACTAAGAAGTCAGAGAAAAGGGGCCTTGGGGACAGGTTCAGGGGGTGGAATCATTTTCTTAATTTCCTTTTTAGATTGTTTATTGCAATTATTAACAATTGATTTTCTGCCCTGTAATGCTGTTGCTTATTTGGTTCTAGTAATCTCTTGGGTTTCTTAGCATTTTCTGTATACAGACCATGTCATTTCAAATAGATACTTTTACTTCTTTCTTTCCAATCTGGATGCTTTTCCTTTCACCCGAATTGCCTGGCTAGAACCTCTCATGTTAAACGGAAGTGATGAAAAGCAGACATCTTTGTCTCTTACATTCCACGTGACCAAAGAACACACCGTAAATTCAGTTCTTTTACATTTGTGCAGATTTGCTGTATGGCCCAGGGCATGATCGATTTTTATGCTTGTTCAATGGGCTTTTGAAAAGAATGTGTATCCTGTTGTTGGGAAGTATCCTGTTGATTGGATCCTGTTGGTTGATAAGTGTTAACACACACACATATATATATATATATATATATATATATATATATATATATATATATATAATTGACTTTTTACAGAGAGGAAGAGAGAGGGATAGAAAGTTAGAAACATCTGCTGAGACCGGTTTGGCTCAATGGATAGAGCATCGGCTTGGGGACTGAAAGGTCCCGGGTTGGATTCTGGTCAAGGGCATGTACCTTGGTTGCGGGCACATCCCCAGTAGGGGGTGTGCAAGAGGCAGCTGATCGATGACTCTCTCTCATCGATGTTTCTAACTCTCTCTCTCTCTCCCTTCCTCTCTGTACAAAAATATTAAAAAAAAATAAAAATAGAAACATCGATGAGAATCATCAATCAGCTGCCTCTTGCACACCCCATACTGGGGATGTGCCCGCAACCAAGGTACATGCCCTTGACCAGAATCGAACCTGGGACCTTTCAGTCCACAGGCCAACGCTCTATCCACTGAGCCAAACCGGTCTTGGCAATAGTGTTAACTTCTACATCCTTGCTGATTTTCTTCTAATTGTTCTACCAGTTGTTAAGAGGAGTTGGAGTTTCCACATAAAAATGTGGATTTTCTGTTCTTTCCATTCTACTAGGTTTACATCGTTTTGTAGCTCTGTGGTTTGCTAAGTACATATTTAGGATTATGTCTTCTTGGTGCAGTGACCCCTTTTTCATTATGTAATGTCCTTCTCTGTACCTGGTAATTAAAAAAAAAATGCACTTATATTGATTTTTTTTTTTTTTTACACAGAGAGGAAGGGAGAGGGATAGAGAGTTAGAAACATCAATGAGGGAGAAACTTTGACCAGCTGCCTCCTGCACACCCCCTACTGGGGATGTGCCCACAACCAAGGTACATGCCCTTGGGAATTGAATTTGGGACCTTTCAGACTATAGGCTGACACTCTATCCACCGAGCCAAACTGATTAGGGCAGAAACTGGTAATGTTTTTAAATATATTTTTATTTATTTCTGAGAGGAAGGGAAAGGGAGAGTTGGGAGCATCAGTGATGAATCATTGATTGGCTGCCTCCTGCAAGCCTCCTACTGGAGACCAAGCCCACAACCTGGGCAATGTCCCCTTGATCAGAACCGAGCCTGGGACCCTTCAGTCCACAGGTGGGTGCTCTATCCACTGAGCCAAACCGGCTAGGGCTGTATCTGGTAATTAAAACAAAACAAAACACAAAACTATATTCAGGTGGACAGCAAAGTGTCTGGTAACTTTCTTTGATATCAAATATAGTTACTTTATTTTGCCACTTAAAATATTTTATTGGCTTTTTTACAGAGAAGGGAGGATAGAGTTAGAAACATCGATCAGCAGCCGCCTGCACACTCCCTACTGGGTAGGTACCTGCAACCAAGGTACATACCCTTGACCGGAATCGTACCTGGGACCCTTGAGTCCACAGGCCAACGCTCTATCCACTGAGCCACACCAGTGAGGGTGCCACTTTTGAGTAATGTTTGCTTATTTACTATTTTCCCATCCCTTTTACTTTCAACCTAACTTATCCTGTTATATTTGAAGTAAGTTTCTTGTAGACAGCATAGTTAGGTCATGTTTTTCCACCCACTTTGCCAATTTCTGTCAATTGACACATGTATTTAGACCATTTATACTTAATGTACTTTGTAGTATGCTAGGGCTTAAGTCACTCACTTTTTTTGTTTTCTACTCCCTCCCCCCCCCCCCAATTTCCAGTATATTGCTTGAAAATTGTTTTTAGAACTCCATTTTGATTTCTCTAGTGTTTTTGGGTGCATTGCTTATCATTTTACATGTTACAATATACTTTGTCCAGATTTTACTATTCGAGAGAAGTGTATGTCTTCCCTGTTTATATCACTTTGCTCTCTCATTTATAAAGCAGTTGCTTTAAATATTTCCATTGAAACCACATCGATGTTGTAACACTTGCTTCAACCATCAACCATAATTTAGAAAACTGGAGTATTTGGTATTTTTTTCTTTTGTGATATTCTAAGTTTCATTTTAAAAATATTTTGGTTTCAGATAGGCAGGGAGGAGATAGAAACACCATGATGAGAAGCATGGATCAGCTGCCTCCTGCACGCCCCACACTGGGGATCGAGCCTGCAACCTGGGCATGTGCCCTTGACCGGAATCTAACCTGGGACCCTTCAGTCTGTAGGCCGATGCTCCCGTTTCCTTTTAAAAATTCCTTCGTTTAGAGAACCTCAACCATCTTCTCGGGAGAGGTCTACTGCCAACAAACTCTACTTTTCATCTGAGAATGCCTAAATTCTCCCTAATTCCTGAAGGATATATTTTGCTGGGTATAGATTTTTAGTTGACAGAAATTTTCTGTTGCTACTTGGTAAATGTATCATTCCTCTGACCTCAGTTTCTGATGAGAAATGTCAAATTTTTTCCCTACAGGCAAGGCATCAGTTCTCTTGCTGCTTTCAGGTTTATATCTGCCATTTCTGGGGGCACATACCTAGTCGGGAGTGTGCAGGAGGCAGCTGATCGATGTTCCTCTCTTTGGTTTCTCTCCATCCATCTCCCTTCCTCTCTGTAAAAAATTAATATATTTTTGAAAATTGGCTCCGTGGATAGAGCATCGGCCTGCGGACTGAAGGGTCCCAGGTTCAATTCTGGTCAAGGGCATGTACCTTGGTTGCAGGCGCATTCCCAGTAGGGGGTGTGCAGGAGGCAGCTGATATTTGTAACTCTCTATCCCTCTCCCTTTCTCTGTAAAGAATCAGTATATTTTTAAAATATTAAAAAATGGTTGTTAGCCCTAGCCGATTTGGCTTGGTGGACAGAGCCTTGGCCTGTGGCCTGGGTTCAATTCTGGCCAAGGGCACAGACCTGGGTTGCAAGATTGATCCCTGGTCCTGATTGGCAGGCAACCAATCAATGTGAGAGATGTTTCTCTATTGTCCCTTCCCCTCCTTTCACTCTAAAAATCAATGGAGGCCCACCTGCCGTGACTTAGCAGCTGAGTGTCAACCTATGAACCAGGAGATCATGCTTCAATTCCATCAGGGCACATGCTAGGGGTTGCCAGCTTAACCCCCAGTGGGGTGTGCAGGAGGCAGCTGATCAATGATTCTCTCGGTTTTCTCTCTCCCTCCCTCTGAAATCAATAAAAAATAAAGGGTGTCCACAGGTGTGGAGTAACCACCACAAAGGGTGGTCACGTCAGTAAAACTTAGTGTATTCATCCCATCGGTCAGGTGACCACGCTTCTTCCTCAGTGAGGCACATTGGGGCCAGGAGGTGGAGTCCTGTGCCAGGTGCTCCCAGCACCTCTCTCACCTCCTCAGCCGTGGAGTCAGGCTCGGTGAGTGCCGTGAGGGCCTCTGCTCCCAGGGAGGAGCTGGGGATAGGAAAGCCACGGCAGACGGCTGCTTCTGGTTAAGGCCACTTAGTAAAACTTGTAAGAAATGACAGCTCAGAGGTAGGAATAACAAACTTTATTCAGAAATGTATAAGTAACAGAGTCTCCTCCATCCCTTAATGCCTCTTCCTCTTCTTTTGAACTAGAGACACAGATGGGGAAAGTAGGGGAGTGGGAGGTTAAGAGGGACACGAGGACTGGCCCACCACCTTCTCTTCCGTTTTCCACGATGCCATCCTGTAGACTAGGGGAGACAAACGGGCTTCACTCCACAATGTACCACATGGCTGTCCGGAGACCGGGCCCGGGTGACCAGGTGGTTGCAGCTAGCTCGACGACACTCTACCAGAGCAGCCTGGCCTAGCACTGGGAGGAGGGAGGGCAACACCCCGCAGGCAGACCTTTACCACTCTGCTCAGAGCAGAGTCTGAGCGTGGCCTCCTGTGCTCCAGGACGCAGAACGAGGCCTACGCCTTGGATGCTCTCTTGGGTCAACAGTTTCGGGATGTGTAGGAGGAATGTCTTCCAGCTGCTCAAGAGAATACATCTGCACCCATTCAAAGGGGAAAAGGGAAGAAGAGCTGCCTCCTTGCCGAAACCGGTTTGGCTCAATGGATAGACCGTTGGCCTGTAGACTGAAAGGTCCCAGATTCGATCTCAGTCAAGGGCATGTACTGTGGTTGCGGGCACATCCCCAGTAAGGGGTGTGCAAGAGGCAGCTGGTCAATGATTCTCTCTCATTGATGTTTCTAACTCTCTATCCCTCTATCTTCCTCTGTAAAATCAATAAAAATATTAAAAGGAAAAAAAAAAAAGCTGCCTTCTTTACAAACCAGAAAGGGAGCACACCAAGCACATTCCTTGGACTCACCAGGCCTGTGCAACCTCGGAGCTGAGTCCAAACCCTGGGCCTTCCTGCTTGACAGACCCACCCCCTTCCCCCTTTGCCAAGGCAGGAAAAGACCCCTCTGCTCAGGGACTGATGGGCCACTTACAAAGGTGGTAGCTGCATGTGTGCTCCCAGAATCCCTGCTGTCCCGCAGACATCCGAGGCCAGAAAGCCAGGAGCAAGCCAACAGCTCCCCTCCCAGTAATCCTCCAAACCCCGGGCCACAGAACTAGGGGAGAGCTGCCATTAACACAGAGCCAGGTGCGATGAGCTCTGGCTAGTGAAGACTTGAGGGACCAGCAAGCCCTCCCAGCAGTAATAACCGGAGGCCGAGAGAACTGGGGTGGAGCACTTGGCCTAACCCTGGGAAAAGGGACACGTGACCTCAGGACGAACTCTGAGCTGCCGAAACAGCAGCCTCACCCTGCCCCTGCCAACAGGGCCCTCCGGACCACCCTGGTGTGGAGACAACTGTGGAGAGAGGACAAGGGCCTGTGACCTGATGCCCACCCAGGCCCTCCGCTGGCCAGGCCAGTGAGTGGCACAGCTCTGGAGCTGACCCGGCTCCACTTCGTTCAAAAACGTTAAAAAATAAACAGGAGGAAGCCCCTCGCCCTGGAAACTGCAGTCTCCTTCCAACAGCCCGCCCGGTGAGCCACGGAGCCACAAGAAATCACGCAGAGTCCAGCACGCCGTTTCCAGGAAAGAAGCTGGTTTGGAGCGGAGGTCAGGGGGGGAGACAATCTGAACAACACAAACCTACCTTGGAGAAGATGGAGGGGAGGAGACACTACAGGAAACGTTAACGTACAGAGCACAGGGTAGGACATGACAGGAGGGGGTCTGTCCAATGGGAGCTCTGAACCCCGCCTGGGCCTCCAGTCCAACGGCCCGTCGGTCACAAGCTTTCTTTGGGAACAGAGCCCCCTCCTGCCCCGCTCTGGCTGCCTGCTCCCCGCTCAAAGTTTGATTTTGAATTCTGTGGGCTGCGTGGCCACAGAGGCCCCCGAGGACTTGAAGAGCGCCTTCAGGATGGTGTCGGGGTCCACCTCGGCCGGAGGGTTGGAGGCGGCGGCAGAGTTCGCCCTGCGAGGCAGCTCGCTCTCCCTTCTCACCGAGGGGCTGTCACTCAGCCGCCTGTGGGCAGAGAAGAGCCAAGATCCTTGTCAGTTTCCGAGACGCACAGGGGCCCGGTTCACCGATCTGTTACAAGCTGGGCCCGAATGCAGTGCTCTCTGCGGCCTACCACTCATCTGCAGCAGACCTACCACCTTTCTTGTGTGCTGAGGAGGTGCAGCCTGCTGCCAGCTTAGAAAATACACATCCCTCAGGGATGTCACACACACATTAGCATGCGATACCTCTGAGAAGTCTTGAAGCAAAGAAATGTTTAACTGTTTAGCCCAATGGTTCTCAAACTTCTTAGATCATAGGACACACACATTTCGGAATACAACTTAGTCCTGGAATAAAGCTTAAAAAACTTGTCCAAATCACACAATTCAATATCCAGGATTTACATTCCGGGCTTTCTAAATTTCAGTCTACTTCAGGCCTGCCCGCCCTCCCCTGCCCGCCTTGGCGAATCTCACATCCTCCCAGGTCTCTGCCTCCTTGTCTGTAAAAGGACAGCCTACACGCGAGGCACCGCAGTCCTGCGCCCGGCACGAACGCCCAGACGTCTGACACAGGGCGAGGGCAGCAGCCAGCAGCGTCTCCATCAGAGTCAGTCACAGGAGGTGGGGCTCGCTGTCCCCTTGGACAGTACACCCAGTTTTGCAAAGGGGGACACATCTGGCCTGCTCTCCACTTTCTTCTCCGTGTTTTTAGATTATAGGCTGGGAACAGGTTTAATGCTAGCCCGTGAGGCAAACCCCTGTGGAAAAGGTGAGACCAGCCTCTTTGTACAAAGCTGAGCACCCTGCCCGCCTTCCAGAAGAGCACAGGAAGTGGGCTGGAGCTGTGTGCAGGACATGTCCCTGCCGGGACAGAGGCGATCGGGCAGTCAGCGCGGAGAAGGCTCCACCCGCCCCAGCACGGCCGCCTGTGGACTTACAGCAGGATGGGCTGGTCGGAGGTGATGACGTTCCCATTCATGTGAAGGTTGCACTTCATTGGCTGCCCTGAAAAACCAAAAGAAGGCTCTGCCAGAGACCACTCTCTTCACACAGAAGGACAAGGCTGCCTCCTCATCCCGGGGCCAAACACCCACCACAGAGCTGCTAGATTCTGCAGCAAAACCCGGGACTGAGAAGATCCCAGTGTGTGAGTCCATGAAACCTCGGCAATAACAGCACCGAGAAGCGAACTGCAACAGACCTGCTTCAACCGGAGGAGAGGGCGTGGGGGGGAGGGAGAACCAGGACTCGGTGTGAAGCAATTAGTAAGAGAAAATGCTATGCTATGAAATTCAGTGCAAAGAGGATTCAAAAGTATACGGACAGGCTTCCACTTTGTCTATGAAAGGTTAACTGTGCTGAGTACTACACTCCCAATGTACATAAAATAACAAAAAATAATAAGACAAAGAAAATTTTTAACGTAAACATTAAAAACAGAACAGCACAAAAAGAGGGAATGGAGTCATAGAGAAGTGACGTTTCTCTCTCAGTGGAATGAAGTTAGTATTAATTTGAAATAGATGCTGATATATTCTATCTACTGGAGATTTACTCAAAGATACAAAAAAGTTGAAAGCAAAAGGAGATATTTATCACCCAAACAGCAACCCTAAGAAACGTGAAGTGGCTATTTATCAGCTAAAATAGACATTAAAACGAAAACGTTACTAGAGACAAAGAGGAATGTTTTGTAAGTGATAAAAGGGGTCATTCCACCATGAAGAAAACAATTAGAATGATTACAAACATCTATGGAACTAACAAAGGCTCAAACACACGAAGCAAAAGCTAACAGAAGTGAGAGAAGTAAACGAACATAGTTGAAGGTTTCAGTTCCGCACGTCCAGTAATGGGCGTCTTGTCCCACATACCCAGAACAAAATTTGGAAAACTCACAAATATATGGAAATTGAACAAAACAACCCTAACTAACCAATGGGTCAAAAAAGAAAAACACTAGGTAACCAGAAAATACTTTGAGATGAATGAAAATAAAAACACAATCTATCAGTGCTCATGAGCTGTGGCTAACGCAGTGCTGAGAGGGAATAAATCGCTCTAAATGCAGATGTTAAAAAAGGAGTGAAAAGACAAACCACATATTGGGAGAAATTGTTGGCAAACCATTTATCTAAGAGACCTATATCAAGAATATATAAAGAGCCTTGGCCTGAATGGCTCAGTGGACAGAGAATCAGCCTGTGGACTGAAGGGTCCTGAGTTCAATTCCAGGCAAGGGCAGGCTCCAGGGCGAGTGCAAGAGGCAACCAATCGATGTTTCTCTCTCTCTCTCTCTCTAAAAATCAATGGAAAATACCCTCGGGTGAGGATAAAAAAAAAAAAAAAAGATATTGAAATAAAAAAGGATAAATAATAAATTCTTTAAAAAAAGAATATATAAAGAACTCTTACAACTCAGTGATAAAAGACAATTCAAAAAGTAGGCAAAGATTCTGAATAGACATTTCTCTAAGGAAGATACACAAATGGCCAAAAAGCACACGACAAGATGCTCAACATCATCAGTTAGTAGGGAAATGCAGACTGAACTCCCGGTGACCGTGCTCTTGTGGTTTCTGCCCCTCCGCTGCAAGCACAGGGCCTCGCTCCACAGGAACGACTCAACACACACCGAAAGCACAAATGGGTGGACAGGAGGGCCGTAGCAGACAGCGTTCCGCTCTAGGCCGCCCAAGATGAATAACGAGGAGTCTGCACTCAGTGAAATCAGTGGTTTACTCACTGAAAGCAGAGCTCACCGGGTGCCAATAGTTAGATGAGGCCGAGACCGGTTTGGCTCAGTGGATAGAGCATCGGCCTGCAGACTGAAGGGTCCCAGGTTCGATTCCGGTCAAGGGCATGTACCTTGGTTGCGAGCACATCCCCAATAAAGGGTATGCAAGAGGCAGCTGATCGATGGTTCTCTCATCGATGTTTCTGACTCTCTATCCCTCTCTCTTCCTCTCTGTAAATAATCAATAAAATATATTTAAAAAAGTTAGATGAGGCGCAGGCCATTGAGGAGGCCGTGTCCCAGCTCTGAGCAGACCAGCCGCTGGCAGGGGAAACTACAGCTCACAGCACTGCCGGACTCCTCAAGAGGACATCCACGGAGCAGGTGTTCCCCTGCTAGCTCAGGTGCCAGGCGAGGGGAAACCCAGGGCTGGTGGGACAGGAGCTGGCAGCTCAGCACCACCAGAGACTGCACCTACCCGCCAGCTCTTGTACAGAAGGCCCAGCGGTGAGCGCACCAGGATGCCCCCCCTCCTGCAGAGGGAGGCTTGCTGAGGCCTGCTGCCCGGCAGTAAGCAGTGAGGAGTGGGAAGGGGAAGTAGCTGCTTTCTCCCGACTTACCATCCAGACACCGGTTGTTATATTTCTTATAGGCAGTGATGGCATCATCCTTCTTCACAAAAACCACCTCTGCTACCCCCGGATGGACCAGCCGAGCCCGCTTCAGGGCTCCACATACACAGAAAAGCTCCTGCAAAGCAGAGGGGACAGGGTCAGCGGAGAAGTTCAGGCCATCGTCCTGCCTGCCAGTCACACACTGCTAGGCTCTGGGTTGACTGGTGGCCGCACTATGGCGGAATGTGCCCACGGCTTCAGGGAAGCTCCACTCCAGGTGGTGTTCCTGGGATGTCCACAGGCCCAGCATGGACCAGAAGAGGGGACAAGCTGTGCAGAAATGGGAAATGGGCCTGAGCTTACAGCCATGGGTCGTGTGGCCCATAGTCCTCCTGCCTTGGTGCCTGCTTCCTTCCTCAATGGGGTAACAGTTATGGAATTTCCCTGACAACTCTGACAGGAGAATGAATGTGTGAGCTTATCAAATAATGACAGTGGCAAGTATGCTGCACAGGAATCTGTTAGAAATACATTCTGGAGCTCTACGTAGAGCGACCCATTCCACTGACACGGAAGTGGCTGGAGATGGGAAATTCCGGCAGGGCGTAATACTCACCACAATGTCCTCCTCGGTGACCCTAGGGTGTAGGTTATTCACAGTCATCTTGGTCCCTTCCAAAGGGCTGAGGACAGGCTGCCGCAGACAAGAGTATTACCAGAAGGCAGAGGACAGCTGGGCTCAACAGCAGAACTATCTGTAGGCAAGTGACCCGGAGGCCCACCTCCTACTGGAGACCTCAGCGCCCATCACGCCCCTCCCCATGCTAAGGGGCGGAGCCTCTTGCTTCCAATAAGCAGAGCCCTCTCAGGCGCCTGAGCCTCTGCCCGGAATGCCTCTCCTACTTCCAGATCCACCAGCTCAGCCTTCCCGGCTGTGCCCAGTGGACTCAGCAGCTCTCTGAGCACAACTGTTGCATCACCAGACAGAAGCTCAGGGGCCGCTGGGTCTTGGTTTGCTCATTAGTAAAACGGGGGTGGCAATGCCTGCCTCAGAGAGGCGCTGTGAGGACACAACAGGGTGCACAGAGCACACTGCCCACCCAGCACAGGCTGACTCTCTACGGGTGTGATCATTTCACTTCCTCCTTCACCTTCACCTCACCTCAGCAGGCGGCAGCTCTTTGGGGGTGTCCTCCTTGTTCACTAGTGTCCGGGACATGCTGGTCAAGGCTTTTGTTCGGACCGAGGCGGGGAGCGCAGGAGCTGTGTACGCGTCATTCTGCACCACTTTGGTGAGGGGGGGGCCCTTGGACATGGACAGCTTGGAACTGCTCAGCCCGGCCTAAGGAAGAGGCAGACAGGAAGGAACCGGAGAGGCCAGCGAGCTGAGTGCCCAGGTAGGGACTGACAACCGCCACCCATGAGCCCCCACCGTTCCCAATCCCATTAGTGGCCTGAAGCCAAAAGGCTGCCAGTGACATCCCCAGGGAGGAGAAAGGGAAGAAACACAGCCTGCACACGCGCTCACAGGAGCCCCTTTGCAGGGGGAGCCCCTTGGCGAGAAGCTGACACTCAGCCCTGACCAGGATCCACAGGCTTACTCATGCCCGTTAGACCGCCTTTACCTCAACGGGTCTGACATGCTTTAGACTTTATAAAAACCCACTCTGGGGCTGGTCGGAAGGTCAAAAGCTTGGGATCAAGTACATTTCTACATATGCGTCTATCACAATGGACTGATCAGCTCCAGGCTGGCTGGGCCTAAGAACGTGCTCCGAAGAAGGCCCAGACTCCGTTTCCTGGTCCCTGTTCTGGCTCCACTGGGGCACCACACAGGCCTGGCCTGAGCACCTCCCACAATGTCAGGGGACATGCAGATCTCCGTGATGTGCCCGACGTTGCTTTCTCTCCTGTGCTGCAGTATCTGACCAGTATCCTAGTGTAGCAAGCTTTTCCTGCAAGACTGCCTGGTGGGTGAGGTTCAGACTGCTTTGCTAACCCACTAACCAAGGGAATCCAGATTAAGAGCAGAGGAAGGGGAGCACATAGAATGCCCCGCTGTAAATGAAAGAACATGGGTTCCGCCCTTGGGATCAGCACGTTTCTCACGAAGCATCTCAAACCTGAACCAATGGGGAGCTGGAGCCCTGCACCTCACGACCTGTGGGACCTTGAACAAGTCACTAGACACTCGGGTCTCGGTATCGATAAAAGGAGGGGTTGGACTAGTTCCAGTTCTGAAAATCTTAAGGCCCAAATGAAGAACTATATCGGGAGTCGAAAGGCCAATTCTCCACCACCTCTACCATCCAACTAATCAGACACACAGCCAGTGTCGGCAAAACACAGAACACCCTACCATGTGGTGCAGGAAGCTGCTGGAGGCTGTCAGCTTTGTCTGTTTACTAGGAATGGGAGTTGCAATGTCATCGTCTTCATCCAGGTCGTATAGATTCTGAAAATAAATCAATATAAGCTAATGTGGCCTCCAGGCTGCCGACAGCATCCGGAGCGGGAGCGGGGACGGAGGGAGAGGCTGCCGGAGCAGTGGAGGTGGCGGGAGCAGGGCTGTGGGTGCCCGAGGAGCTGAGTGAGGCTCAGGTCCTGACGGGTGGCTCCCGCCCACAGGGGCAGAGAGAGTGCTGGGCTTCCAGGCACACCCTTTCTACAGGTGGCCAAGGCCTAGGAAGAGTCCCCCAGGGCTGCTCACACCCTTTGGCTTGGAGAGCCCGCCCTGGCATCTGGCCTACGGAAACAAACCCACACCCCAGAGAGAACGCCACCCACAGAGATGCCAGAGTTTCTAACAGTGAGAAGTACAGTAAAATGGTTTAAACCAACTGGAATGTCAGCTCAATGGCTTATGTGGTTATAAACCAGTTAACTGCCACGCGGCCAAATGGAAACCATTCCGCTTGCATCTATAGATGCTATGGCATATAAAGGGTTAAAAAATGTGGGTGGTTTTTTTTTTTACAATAAATGTAAACACAGAAAAATGCTTGAGTTATAAAGTGAAAAAGGAATGATTCAGAATCGGATTAAGAATATAACCATAGCCCGGCCGGCGTGGCTCCGTGTTTGAGCATCAACCCATGAACCAGGAGGTCCGGGTTCGATTCCCGGTCAAGGGCACAGGCCGGGGTGGCGGGCTCGATCCCTAGAAGGAGACGTGCAGGAGACAGCCGATTCACAATCCTCTCTTCTCACTGATGTTTCTCTCTCCCTCTCCCTCTCCCATCCTGACTGGAATCAATAAAAATATATTAAAGGAAGAAAAAGAGCCAAAACCTGTTTGGCTAGTGGACAGAGCGTCGGCCTGCGGACTGAAAGGTCCCAGGTTCAATTCCGGTCAAGGGCATGTGCCTTGGTTACAGGCACATCCCCGGTGGGGGGTGTGCAAGAGGCAGCTGATCGATGTTTCTCTCTCATCAATGTTTCTAACTCTCTATCCCTCTTCCTTCTTCTCTGTAAAAAATCAATAAAATATATTTTTAAAAAAAGAAAAAAGAATATAACCACAGCTACAAAACTATGCAATAATTAAATAATAATGTCATTTAAAAAACAGGAAGGAACAGGGCAGAATTTCAACAATGGTTGGCTTAGGACAGTGGTCAGCAAACCGCAGCTCTCGAGCCACATGAGGCTCTTTGGCCTCTTGAGTGTGGCTCTTCCACAAAATACCACGGCCTGGGCAAGTCTATTTTGAAGAAGTGGCGTTAGAAGAAATTTTAGTTTAAAAATTTGGCTCTCAAAATTTCAACCATTGTACTGTTGATATTTGGCTCTGTTGACTAATGACTTTGTCGACCACTGGCTTAGGAGAACAGGAGCATAGGAAACTTCTGCCGAAACCGTTTGGCTCAGTGAATAGAGTGTCAGCCTGCGGACTGAAGGGTCCCGGGTTCAATTCCAGTCAAGGGCATGTACCTTGGTTGCGAGCACATCCCCGATGGGGGTTGTGCGAGAGGCGGCTGATTGATGGTTCTCTCTCATCGATGTTTCTAGCTCTCTATCCCTCTCTCTTCCTCTCTGTAAAAAATCAATAAAATATATATATATTTTTTAAAACAAGCAACTTCTTCTTCTTAATCTTTCTCTAGTTTGTAAATTTTTCTGTATTAAGCACAATTTTAAAGATCCCCCCCCCCCCCCCCCCCAATTTGCTTCTGCCTCTTATCTCTCTCTTCGCAGTTGTAAAACCTCTCCTTTAAAAAAAAAAATGTGCCGGGACCGGTTTGGCTCAGTGGATAGAGCGTCAGCCTGCGGACTGAAGAGTCCCGGGTTCAATTCCGGTCAGGGGCATGTACCTTGTTTGTGAGCACATCCCCAGTAGGGGGTGTGCAAGAGGAAGCTGATCGATGGTTCTCTCATCGATGTTTCTGACTCTCTATCCCTCTCTCTTCCTCTCTGTAAAAAAATCAATAAAGTACTTTTTAAAATTTTTTTAAATTTTTTAATTAATTAATTTATTTTTTAAATATATTTTATTGATTTTACACAGAGAGGAATTGAGAAGGACAGAGAGTTAGAAACGTCGATGAGGAGAGAAACACCGACCAGCTGCCTCTTGCACACCCCCAACTGGGAATGTGCCCGCAACCAAGGTATATGCCCTTGACCAGAATCGAATCTGGGACCCCTGAGTCCGCAGGCCGACGCTCTATCCACTGAGCCAAACCGGTTAGTAAAAATTCTTCTTAAAACTCATAAAATACAATCAAATGTAATTCTTCCCAATTCTTCAAATTGTGAACCTTGAAGTAGCATCAGTTAATCCACCCAGCAGGTCCAATCAAAACACATTTGTGTACACACACACACACTCTACCTGTCTGGCCTGGTGATTGTTGACGACGTTAATCCTCATTCCAGCAGGATGAGCATGAGGTGGTGTCACCGCCTTCTGCTGTGGAACCTAGAAACACCCGCTGGTCACAATTCATCACACAGGCCCACATCGCTCTCCATGGTCACTCAACTTGAAATATGAGGGCACTCCGTTGGTCTTTGGTAAAAGGCCCTACAGAGCGCTCAGACCAAAGGAGTGACAGGAAGCCTCGCCGTCCCAGATCACCTGGCGAGGCATGTGCAGGCTCCCTGCTGCGCTGTTCCTGTCCCCCGTGTGTGGAGAGGAAATGCTCTTGCTTCCACTCCCTTTGGGTGGAGGCTGTGCCGGTGGCCAGCACTGTGTGAGGAGCTGCGCAACTCGGCATAATTCACATCTCCGAGACCGGGGCTCTTGGGTAAAACTGGGGCATGAACCCCGGGTTGCAGTGAGCAGTGTAGTGAGTGGGGGAGGTCATGTATGGCAGTGCCTGCCAGGTAGCACAGGCTTCATAAACGTTTTGTCCCTCCGCCGCTAGCTCGCCTGGGAAAGGCACTTCACTTCATTGGACCGGCCCGCTTTTATATAAAACTGGGCAAGGCCCTGCCTTCCTCATACGGCTACTACACCAACCCAGGAATGCAATGTTCCCCCGACGCCCCTGACCCTGCTCCCTGGGACGTAGGGCAAGAGCCATGCCTACCTGGATGGTTTTGGTGAGCTTCAGCGCGGGAGTCACCGTCCCGATGGGCGGGCTCATGAAGGAGGCAGGGGAGCTCCGCTTCAAGCTGAGCTTCTCCCGGGCATCGGCCACCTGGTGGGGCCTCTGCGGGGCCATGCTCTGCTGCTTGCGGGAGTTCAACATCTCTCTGGCATCCTGTACTTTCCCTTTGATCCGGAAGCGAGCGTCTTTCTGCAAAAGCTTTTCTCGGGCATCCTTGACTCCCAGCTTGAGCCGGGCATCCGAGAGGCCAATCTTCTGCCGGGCATCAAACTTCTGCTGGAATGTGGCTGTGCGTGCTGGCTGGCTGAGGAAGCTCTGCTGGACCCCAACGCAAGATCGGACGCCCCCAACTCCAGGTCTGACACTGAGCCTGCAAGCGAAAACTGTAACAGTGAGCCCAGCCGGCATGGCTCAGGAGTTGAGCAATGACCTATGACCTGGAGGTTTCGGTTCTATCCCGTCAGGGCACATGCCCGGGTTCAGGCTTGAGCCGCAGTGTGGGTTGTGCAGGATTCTCTCTCGTCGATGTTTCTATCTTTCTCTCCTCCCCTCTAACTTCCTCTGTGAAATCTATTTTAAAAAATACATATTAAAAAAAAATTTTCATGCTTATGTAAATTCCTCATGTGCGTGTATTAATATTTTATTTTCTTCTGTTAATCTGTCTCTGTTAATTTGATTAGCCCAGCTAGAAGAACTTCAAAGGTGGAAGGAAAGTAGTATAGATATACTAGAGACCCAATGCATGAAATTCATGCAAGGTGGCCCTCGCAGCCCTGGCTTCATCTGGAAGGTTGTTCGGATGTCTGTTCTCGTTAGCATATTGTTTTTATTATTATAGATTTTTAGCCCCCACTGGTTTTATTTTTTAATGATTTCAACTCCCTACATCTGTTGCTGATGCCCATCACAGAAAAGTAACAGACTATCAGTTCACACTAGGAGCTGCTACTGAGGGCCTACTCATAAAACAGGGAAAAAATAATTTGGCCAATACGTAAGGTCCAGGTAGATAAAACTGAAGTTAGTGGAAAGCACTCCGGATGAATCCTTCACTCATCAGGCACTGAACGCCCCGCCCCCCTTTCCACCCCTACCTCCCAAGCCAGAGGCCCTGGGCCCAGCAATCAAGTGACCAAAGGGCAGGGCAAGGAACAGGTCTCCTGAGCTCTGACTTGGGGTGGAGGCACACAGATAACCACCGGCTCCTGTTCTAGGAAAGCCCCCAGGCTGTGGGGACACCACCCGCAGGACACCTGCAGGGCGGCGGGCAGGCTAAGAGGCCGAGGTGTCTGGAAAGAGGAGTCCAAGGGCATTGTGGGCAGACGAGGGAACTGTCCACTAAGCCAGCTGGGGGCTTTTTTGCTCTTGCGGTTCTGGCAGCAGGCACAGTAAGCTCCTGCCTCCCATTCTTTCCCTTCAGTGGATCACTCCACAGCGGATCACTCACAGCGGGACAAGGCTCCCGATAAGGCACTTACCATGCCGCATCACAACGATCTGTCTACAAGCCTGCATCCCCTGGGATGGACTAAGAGCTTTGCAGGGGCGCACTCTGCAGCGCCTGACTAGTGTCTTCCTGGCACCAGGGGAATGACAAAGGCTCAGCTTTTTGATCCTGAGACCCAGGCCCCTACAGGGCTCCTATCTATCATTAACCTTCCTAGCGATCATTAACGATCGCTGTTAGTTGCCATCACCTCATCTCCTCTGTAAGAATTAAATCACAGTGCTAGGAGCATGGCCGAGGCTGGACAGCAGGTCCACGTGACTCCAGAGCCCACAATCTTTCCATTGTAACAGGCCCCAAGCTCCCCTCCTTCCTAATCCAAGCCCCAGGGGAGGAGAGAAAGAAGTGATGGCTGCCCCTGAAAGCGCTTCTCCTAAAGACTGCCTCGCAAGGCAGCCCTCTGTCCAGCACACCGACCAGTCCAACACCCTGCTGGGATCCTCCCAGCGCAGCCAGAGCAGAGAAACCAGGGCTCACTAAAAATGGGCCGCACAGTAGGGGCATTCCAAACAGAACCAGGCTGCATGTGAGCAAGTCCACTGGGGGTCAGACACGTCCTGATCCAAAGGCGAGCCTGTCTTGAAGATGTCCTTTCTCTGTCTGCCTTCTCCAAACCCCACCTCCTCCCTTCACCAGAACCCCTCAGTACCAAAGGCCCCTGATATTCGTAGCTAAAGGAAGAGCTGCTCTTATCATGTGGTGCCCCCTGTGACTTTACAATGCCACGAAATTGGGCAAATCTAGCCACCATGCCCTCAATCACACTTTCAACAAAGAAAACAATGCCCATAAAATAGGGGGCAAAAAGATAACCAACTGAAAGTGATTATTCTGAATAAAAGAACAATGAGCTTCTTCCTTTTTTTTTTTTTTTTTTTTTTTTTTTTAAGTAGCTTTTATTCACAATCACCAAAATCTGAAAACACACCAAATGCCAACTGTCAGGTAATACATTATGATACACATTATGATATATCCATACAAAATATTACTCAGCGGAAAAAAGGAATGAACTATTGATACACCAAGCAACACAGATGAAACTCAAAAACACTGTGCTGAGTAAAAGAAGCCAGACATTAAGATTTTATATTAAAAGACTCCATTTCTATGAAGTTCTAGAAAAGGAAAGCATCTATTGCAAACATGTCAAACTCAAAAGGCTAACACAGGCCAAATAAACAAGATATGTGGTCAGGGGCTGCGAGTTTGACATGCTTCATCTACAGTAACAGTAATCAGAGCAGTGGCTACAGAGAGAATAGGATGCTTGAAAACAAATTTCATATATCTGAACAGAGAATGGAGAAAAGGACAAATTAGTAAGCCTACTTAGGAGGGGCAATGGCGAGTAGGCCTCTATAACCTTATTTATTCATACTCCTCAACAATCTCCCTCTCTGATGATCAGTAATGGCTCTTAAGCACTCTACTGAGAAATCACAGGAGTCTATGGTTGCTAAGCAATGCCTGGCATGGCCACACAGGGGCACTGGCCAGCAGGGTGTATGAAAGATTCCATAAAGATGGTCTCAACTAACAGTCCTGAGCACGTACTAAAGGTCCATAGACTCTGACACACCTCCTTTAACCCTCACAACTCTGAGAATGAGGTTATCATCCACATTTCATAGAGGAGAAAACTGAGAATCCCAATTGCAGAGCTATATGGTGAAGGCTGGACTTGAACTTCACTGTACCTAGTTAAAGGCCCAATAAATTAAGCATGGGTCAAAATAAAGGCCAGGACTTGAAGAGCTAAGGCAGGGTGGGTGCTGTCGCCAGGCTAAGGAAAATCAGGACGTCAGCCATGTTGAGGGAGAAAGCTCTCTCAGCGGCTGGAGGGTAGGTGCACACACTGGGGACCCACACACCGTACTGCTTGTCGGGCAAGAAGGACCACCAAAAACACCAGCCTTGAGCTCCCGTGCTTCGATGTGCAGGCTTTTCTAACCACTGCTCCTCCTCCTGCAGGAAAGGACAGCCATTCAGCCCAGCAGGCAGCAGTGGTGGCTGTAAAGCAGGCATTAGTCATCAGGAATTTCCAAATAAACATTCCTGCTAAAGCAGGTCTCTAAAACATGGAGTCAATCAGAGAACCTCCTGCCCAACAACTGCTGAGGGTCCCTACCAAAGCCCAGCCTCCCCAGCGGAGCCAGCCCCTGGTCTGGCCCGAACTTGCAGCCCCACCTCCAAATGCAGGCTCTCGGAGGCTCCGTCCTCAGTGAATGTTGGCAGAGGGCAGCGGGACATTTTAAACAAGTCTCTAACTGCCCACCTCGTCACACCCCAACCCGTGCCGCTGCACGGCCTCAGCCATCCCCAGGTCCCGGGCCTTGGGAAGAGAGCTGAGCATTAAGAGCGCAAATGCCCCGCTGGGGCTAAGCTTCCTCCCAGACCCCACTGGAGCCGGACACGATGCCCAAAAGGGTCTGTGTGGGGCCGGAAGGCCTCGCTCTCCTGGCTCTACCTGTGGAGCACAGAGTGGCAGCTGGCTCTGACCGAAGTCCAGACCCTAACCACTAACCTCTTACCTTCCCAGAGTCCTGTGCAAATGTCTCATTTTCAATACTAATTCTTTCCTTCTGAGTTATGTAGTAACTAATTTTCCTCTGCTTTAGGCATCCATTTCCTTTATCCTTTTCAACAGAGAAACAAGCACGGAGGACCCAGACCTTGGCCCTGGCCTGAACTGAAAAGCTCTCCCACTCCCACCCTCCCTGGTTCCAAGGACCCCTCCCTCCGACAGGGCACGTGGCCCAGGGCTGCTCAGCTCCAACACTCAAGGCCCAGCTTTCCCACCGAGGCTGCCGCCAGCTCACCTCACACGGGCGGCGGGGCAGACTATCCCCAGGAGTAAGCTAATCGAACCAGCTGCTGTCTTGACAAACTCTATGAGCGATGCTCTCACATGCAGAGGGAGAAATGACCAGCTGGTGCCCAGTGCTGTCCTGAGGACACTCACCGATGGGTCTTGAGCAACTGAGGTCACCGGAGATGTGCCATGCGTGGGAAAAACAGTGCCTCTCCATGGCCTGGATGAAGGAGCACTCAAAACTCTCCCCTCCCGTTCAGAAATTTCCACTTATCAGGAAAGCTCCGATAACTCACTGGAGTCAGGTAATGATGACAGAGAATGGGGCCCAGGTAATAATGATGATAGTGACCCTTTTCCTGACTTACCAGGTGCAATGAACATGCAACAGAAAGACTGTTTGTTCTTAAGTGTAAGCACATTCCACGCCCTGTGGGAAAGGGGTTATTTACCCCCCACAGGCTGTCTTCTGCTATGCCCATCCCGAGGAACGGCATTTTCTGAGATGATCACAGGTCCTTCCTCAAGTTCTAAGATAAAAGTTCCTGGGACATCCATGCAATGTTAAACCAAAGTTCCCAGGAAGGAATCTCCCGGAGACCTGCCCGCAACCAAAGTGCACAAACCGGTTTTGGCAATATAAAAGTCTTAACAACCCCAAAGTTCCCTGTGCCCAGGTGCAGTCCATCTCCTCCCCTTCCCCCTGCAAGTCCCAGGCAACTACCGTTTTCCGTGTTGAGGTTCTCCAGAACACAGTGCAAGTGGAATCACACAACGTGGAGCTGTTTGGCCTCTTTCACTTGGCATAGTGTGTTTAAGATTTATCCATGTTTTTGTATTTTATTACTGAGTTTCCCATTAAACGGTGAATTTTAATTCAATAAATAAATAAAAATGGAGTTTCCAGCAGATTTATTCAAACACAGCATGCAGTCGTTCCTTTCACACTCCGCCTGCATTTCCCCCAATCCAGTCTGCACGTCACAGCAGAGCAGTTCTCACACGGGAACTGCTGGTGTCCGGGAAGCACTAGTGCCCTCGGACACTTCTGAGGCACTTTAGCTATTAATTCTCCCAGTGCCTGCGGCAATAGCCTAATGGAGCCAGGGCTGCCCACACTTCATCCATAAGGAAATGGTTAAGGAACTTGCATCAGATTAATGGCAGGTGGGAGAAGCAGGGCCTGAACTCTGCATTCTGACTCTGGGCCCCAATGCATACCTCCCATGTTCCTCCTCCTTTAAGGCCCATGAAAATTGCCACCACTTGCTGAACACTTACTACCTGGCACAAACTTTAAAATGTACCCTCACATTCTCATATTCACACCTCTCCCCGATCTACCAGCAACCATCATTACAAATGAGGAAGGTAGCCGAAACCGGTTTGGCTCAGTGGATAGAGCATCAGCCTGCGGACTGAAAGGTCCCGGGTTCGATTCCGGTCAAGAGCATGTACCTTGGTTGCGGGCACATTCCCAGTAGGGAGTGTGCAAGAGGCAGCTGATTGATGATTCTCTCTCATCGATGTTTCTCTCCCTCTCTCTTCCTCTCTGTAAAAAATCAATAAAATATATTATTTAAAAACAACAACAAAAACAAATGAGGAAGGTGCCAGCTCAGAAGTCATCCCGGGCCAGGGAGACACAGAACCCCACAGCGGGGCTGCAGGGACCAGGTGTGCTCCCCACGGATTCACCACCCGCTTCCCTGCACCCCCTCCCCCTTCCCCACTACCAAACGCGAGACTCTGCGCACATCCACAGCCGGGCCCCTGCCCTCAGCACCGAGGAGAGGGGCTCTCAGCAACTACCCAGCAACAAGTGGCGGAGGAAAAAACCCAGGAGAGGAATGCTCCCGGAATTGAGGAAATTAATACTGAGGGCGGGTCATGCGCCAGCGAGGTGCGGGCCGCTGGGCAGGGGTGGGGGGAGGCGGGACTCATTTTATTTATTTATTTATTTATTTATTTATTTATTTATTTATTTATTTAGTGAAACTCATTTTCGACAGCAAGGGAATGAATCTATCTTCTAGCCTCAAGCACCGGGAGGTACTAAAATAAAACACACACAACGGCATGTAACTTCACGGCCAGGCTGTTTGCAAACAGTTCAACTACTGTAACGTGTGCGGGAACCCACGGCCAGTTCCCCGCTCCGCCCGGGGCTCCCGCAGGCCGGAGGTGAGCCGGCCCGGAGGGGCCTGAGAGCGCGGGCCCGGCCCGGCCCCGTCCGAGAACCGGAGCGGCCGCCGTCGGGAAACGGCCGAGCCGTGGCCCCTCCCCCGGCCCCCCCACTGCCGAGGCCCCAGGGCAGCGACGGGAGCGCACACCCGTCCGCCGCGGCCTCGGACCCCGCACTCTCCCTCCGCCGGCCTCGAGCCCGCATCTGTGAAATGGGACAACGTGCCGGCCGGCCGCCGGGGCCGGGAACAGCCACGGAGGCAAAGCGTCCTCGGCGCTCGGAGTCCCCGCGGCCCGCTCGCCGGCGGGGACAGAGCGGCGCGGAGGGCGGTGGCGCAGGAGGGGAGTGCGGTCCGCGGAGTCCGGCCTCCGCCTCCAGGCCGCGCCGAGCCGCCGAGGGGCTGCGCCGGGGAAGCTCTCGGACCCGGGCAGCCCCGCCCCCTGAGGGCACCCGGCGGCTCCCACAGGCCGCGCACCCCGGCGCCGCCGCCGCCGCCGCCGCCGCCCGCGGCCCCCCGGCCCCCCGGCCCCCGAAACAACGGCGCCTCCAGCCAGTGGGCGGCCGGCGGCCGGGCCTGTGGCGGCGGCGGCGGGGCCAATGAGCGGCGCGGCTCCGGCAGGGGGCGGGCGCAGGAGGCCCTCGGTCGCCCCGGGCCGCTCCCTCCTCCACCCCGAGCCGCGCTAAGCCCCGGGCCCTAAACCCCGAAGGGAGAAAAGGCCGCCTACCTCCCCTTCGCCGCTGCTCCCCGTTTCCGGATGAGCTCGTCCAGGGAGATGTCCGCCATCTTACACCACGGAGCAGCCTGGATCCCCCTCACTCCTCGAGCCCGCCCCTCCAGTCGCTACGGAGGAATTGTTTCCGGCGTCTCCTCGACGAATTCTCGCGACAGTTCCGAGGAGGCAAGAACCGGAAGTACACGGGCTGCGGGGCCCGTGAGCCTTAGCGGCGCTAGCTGCGGATCTGCATACGAAGTGTGGGGTCATTATCATTTCTCTGTTCTCCCCCCCAGGACAAATAAAACGAAAAGCGACCTAAACTATGAACGAGGATTAAGATCAACTTTAAAGAAACGGGGATCTCAGTTTAACGGTCCACTGTTATACTCACCGTAGGACTAATGAGATTCGGAATCACCATGCAGCGAGCAACGCAGGCGCCCCTCCATGCCTTAAACTTATGAGTAAGGAAAATAACGATTCGGGGTGACGCCCGAATCCTCACTGCGAATGTGAGACGAATTTTTGAGCGGGTAAAGGTTGCCCCTACGGTGACCCGCCTACTTTGCGGGATGCCTGGGTGCTGCGATCTGCCCGACCCCCCGCGCTCAAAGAACAGGCTGGCGAGAGGGCGGCTGGAGGCTGGGCTTGGCGTCCTTACGGCAGTCTTCCGTCGGGTCCGGGAGTCCTAGCCGGCTCCTTGAACTTCACCCGGTCTCTCTCTGTGGCTGAGAAATTCAGATAAGCCCGCCGTCTGAGGACCGCCCGGCTCGCCCCCGGGGCTCCCTCTTGGCCCTGCAAATAGTTTAATGCTTTATGAGTCCAGCACTGCCAGTGGAGTTACGTCCTTTTTGTGTTGTTAATTGTGACATTAGCCTTAGCCGGTTTGGCTCAGGGACACCAGTGGAGTTACGTCCTTTTGTTGTTGTTAATTGTGACATTAGCCTTAGCCGGTTTGGCTCAGGGGATAGAGTGTCCGTCTGTAGACGGACGGGTCCCAGATTCAATTCCGGCCAAGGGCGCATGCCTGGATTGTGGGCTCCATCCCCAGTAGGGGGCGTGCAGGAGGCAGCCAATCAATGATCTCAATCATCATTGATGTTTCCATCTTTCCCTCTCGCTTCCTCTCTGAGCTCAAAAACAATGTATTTTTAAAAATAATATATTTTATTGACTTTTTTACAGAGAGGAAGGGAGAGGGATAGAGAGCTGGAAACATCAATGAGAAAGAAAAATCGATCAACTGCCTCTTGCACGCCCCCCCACTGGGGATGTGCCGGAAACCAAGGAATATGTCCTTGACCGGAATGGAACCTGGGACCCTTCAGTCTGCAGGCCGACACTCTATCCACTGAGCCAAACTAGTTTGGGCAAAAATGAATTTTAAAAGTATGACATGCCGAAACCGGTTTGGCTCAGTGGATAGAGCGTCAGCCTGTCGACTGAAAGGTTCCAGGTTCAATTCCAGTCAGGGACATGTACCTTGTTTGCGGGCACATCCCCAGTGGAGGGTGTGCAGGAGGCAGCTGATCAATGATTTTCTCTCATCAATGTTTCTAGCTCTCTATCCCTCTCCCTTCCTCTCTGTAAAAAAAAAAAATCGATAAAATATATATTTTTTAAAAGTATGACAAAGTCCACTTTAAAGAAAATAAAAATAAATGGTGACTTTGGTTAATGAGTTATGTGCACTTGACAGAACATCACACTATATTAAAAATCTGGCATCAGGCCCAACTGGTGTGGCTCAGTGGTTGAGTGTCGACCAACCTATGAACCTGGAGGTCACAGTTCAATTCTCTCTCAGGCACTCTTTCACTTCCTCTCTGAAATAAAAAAAATAATAACCATTAAAAATCTGTCACCAGAAGCTCCATGGAAAAACTGGGCAAGAGCTGGTAAAGAAATCCAGAGGTCTGGAGTTGGGCACCAGACAGAGCGGAATCCAGGTCCCTCCCGGGCTGGCCTTCCTTTTCTCAGCTGCGAACAGCGGCCACTATGCCCTCCCTCCCAGGGTGCAGGATGCAGGGGGCGGGAGGCCCACTCTGTGCCCCAGCCTGGGCCAGCTGGACCGCGGCGGCAGGTGCAGAACCAGGAAGCAGCCGGGGGGTGCGGGAATTAAAGCGCTGTGGAGCCTTAAGTGGAAGGTATGTCAGTCCAATGGTTTTTAAAAGCCAGCACAATAGGGTCATTAACCGAGATCAAGTAATTTTGGGATCCTCAGTGGGGTGGCCTCCCCAGGAGCATTTCTGAGCTTTGTGGAGTCCTGTTTGGTCGTCCAGAGCAGCGGTCGCCACCTTTTGGACTCATGGACCACCAGTGGTGCCCGGACCACCGGTTGGCAGTGCTGGTCCAGAGGAGAGATCCAGTCACGTGGAGGTGGGACAGCCTCCATCTCCAGCGACCTTCCTGGAGCCGAGAGGCTGGTGCGATCCGAGCCAGGCTTTGCTCAAATTCCTGTGCAAACGCGCAGGACTGTTTGTCAGGCGTGAACAGGGAGTTGCCGGGAAGGACTGCGCAGGAGCCGAGGAACGGGTGCCGCTTTGTTTGGAAAGTGACCAAGAATCGTGCCGCCTGGGAGCCCGGCTGCAATTGGGGCTGAGGCAGTTCAGGGACCTGGCATTTGGGCAAACCCTGACCTCCCCGTGTTATAAATCCCGTTTCTTTCTGGCTCTTTTATAACACAGAGCTGTGTGTGCGTGTGCGTGTGTGAGACATTACCTGTGAACTCACTTCAGGGGATAAAGGGCCTGTTATTTTAAAAGGATGTCAAGTCTGAGAGGGTGAAGAATCACTGACCTAGTTCACGCGCCCATCTTACAGGTGGGGGAACTGAGACCAGGAGAGAGGGAGACCAGATCCAGTTCATGCCCTTCTTCCCGGCTCCAGGAGGCAGCTGCCAGTGGGCTCAGGCAGATGTGCATTCAGTTCCTGACCCACAGGCCCGTTCTTTCACCCTCCAGATGGAGGCAGGAATGAGCAGACTGACGTGTATCCAGTGCTCAGCAGAGGAGCACACAGTGGTGTGGAGAAGGGCCGTGGGTGCCTGGGGTCCCCAGGTCAGTCCCTTTCCTGCCCACTGGGGACAGAAGAGGAGAGGAAAAAGGGACGCCCCTGGCCCCCAAGCATTTTTTTCCTGTTAACTCACCCATCTCCACCTCTCCCCGCTCCGCTCCAGCCACTTGGCCTTTACTGACCCCTGAGCTGCCAGCAGGTCCCTGCCCCAGGGCCTTTGCACGTGCCCGTCACACAAATCCAACCTCATCTGCATCATCACCTCAGCCGCCGCCTCCTCCTCCGATCCGTCTGGAAGTCTGTCCCACGAGCTTATTCTGACCACAAGGCTCCTCGCCTGCTGTCCCCACACCGCAAACACCTGCTACCCCGGCGGGCGGATCCTGCCCGCCACGCCCCGCAGGTCATTCCTGGAAGGGCTTCCCTCCCGGCATTCACACCGCTTCCTTGCCTGGTGCCTTGCTCGCCAGCTGCGGGAGCAGGGAAGAGCGTGTGGGGGCAGCCAGGGTCGCCAGCACCTGGAATGGCCCGGGAGCCTTCCACAGGGCAGCGCTGGGGCCTCACCAGCCCCACCTCCGGCCCCAAAGCCATTCACCACTGAGCCTGCCTGCAGCGGCGTGGGGCTCATGGCTGCTCCTGCTCCTCTCGGGCTGTCGGGCCGAGAACCAAAAGGAAGCCTCTGGGACAGGCGAGTACCAGGCAGACCTGAAGTCCCGCCAGGCCTCTCCCTCCGAGGCAACATGGACGATGGGCACGTGGGGAGCTTAATGCTGGCCTCCCGGTGCAGCCCCAGCCCCCCCGCCGGGCATCTGACCTGGAGACAGCCCGAAGGAGGCAGAGCAGCCAGCTCCTCACAGGACCCCCGGCTGGAAGCAGCCAGTCCGCCGAGGGGTCATGGCGAGTGAGGACAGGGAGCCCCACCCCCAGGCACGGGAGAAGCGGGCCCCTCGGGGCGCATTTGGCGTCACTGGTCACCGCGCTGGCCTGGGGGGGGGGGGGTGTTCTTCTCGTGTCCTTTCCTGCACTGAAGGCCAGGCCCACGCAGCCTACCCCTCCCGCCCCCCACGGGGACACAGCCTCAGGGAGCCGAGGAGAGTTAGCATCAGCTAAGTTTTATTTCAACGTTTTCTCTGCTCATAAATGACTGAAAAAGCTGCTATGCTGGAGGCCAGCCCACCGCTGTCTAAAGGCAACCACGCGGCACTGAGTCTGCCCACGCGGGCGGCGCGGGCAGCGGAGGCGGGTGCGGGCGGAGGAAGAAATAAGCATCGGCTCTGTCCTCCTCTGCATCAGGCTGGGCCCAGGGCCCTGAAGTGGTGGCTCTAACCACTGAGCGACAGCTTGGGACTCCCACAGCTGCCCTGTCTGGGTGCCACGGGGAAATGTGGAGGCTCCGGAGGGGCCATGTGCGGGCCAGGGGGGCCTCCTCCCAGCCTGGGCTGGGCAGCCTCGCCCAGCAGTCCCTGCGGAGGGCCTTCCGGGTGGTGCCCGCCTGTAGTGTCAGGTGCTGAGGCCCGGCCCTGGCGGGCAGTGAGGGGTGCAGGGGGCCCCGGCGGTGGCAGGGGGCCCTGGGGCCCGCAGCTCTGACCGCCCTGTAATCTGATCCTCCCCGTGTCTGCTCTGGGAGGGCGGCCGCCCGCAGTGTGTGGGGTGGGCGAGGGGGGCCTGAGCCCGGGCGGCCATCACTGCAAGAACCAGTGCGGGCCGCCAGGAGCCTGTCCTGAAGGCGGCCGTGGCGGCCACAGCAATCAAACCCGGATCCCGAAGGCCGGGGTGAGCCCCGGGCACGGTGAGGATGCGGGGAGAGGGTAAAGGGCGGGAGGGCGGGTGCGGGCAGGGACAGGACGCGGGCGGCAGGCGGCACGCCCGCCTCAGAAGCTGAAGAGGCGCTCCTTGGGGTGGCCCACGCGGTCCAGGTTGGGCAGGCAGGCGTACTGGATCATGGGCGGCGGCCCGCACATCAGGATCAGCGGCTCCTGCTCCGGCGGCGGGAGGTGGTCCCGGATCATCTCCTCGTTCACGAAGCCCTCGCTGTAGTCCCAGTCTGCAGGGGGAGCCGAGGTGAGCCCACGCACGCCCCGTGGCTGCCGATGACTCCCCCGCCCAGCACCCTCCCGTGGCGGGTGCGTCCCGGCCCGAACGCTTCCCTTCTTCCGACCGCACCGAGGAGGAGAGAGGCTGCCGCCGGCCTGGCTGCCCGCAGCGCAGCTCGGCCCTCTTGTCTCCAGTTCCCAGAGCCTTTCACTTCCATCGGCCCTCAGAACCCCGGGGTGGACAGGAGAGGGCTAATGGGCCCATTTAGCAGACGTGGAAGCTGAGGCCCAGAGGACCCAGAACTGAGTTGTCCATGGTCACTGGCTGAGGCCTGCGCACCCAGGCGGCAACAGCCCCTCAGAGTACAGCAGACTGATGGGACTGAAGGCTGGCAGGAGTCTGATGGAGGGCAGGAAAGGAAGAGGAGCCGCCCACAGCCCTGAACCGAGTCCCTCCACCCTGGACCCCTGGTTATCTGGCTGGTCTCTGTTTTCTGGCTGGAAATGTCTCGCTAAAGCCCTGCACACCAACAGAAACACAGTTCTGGAAGCCAAGGTCCAGTACCGGAGACAGACCGAGGGGCCTGGCTCGATGGACACTCACTGCACCACGCTAGGGGTGCCGTGCCAGGGCCAGCAGTCCCAGCTCTGAGCACCGGAGAATTTGCTATCGTATGGGCACTGATCTGGGTAACCGACCACATCCCCTTTTCACTTTGGCTGCTGGGAAGCTCAGGATCTGCAGCAAGCGTGCATTCCAGTCCATGGCTTTGTAAAAACCCCATTCCTGATTCTGTCACAGCCCTGCCCTTGTCTCCTCACCCACTCTGTTTGCCCTCTGACTCACTGGGGAAGCTTCTTAAGCTGCCTAACGGCCTCTGGAACGAGGCAGGGCAGACACGTGGCATTTTCATAGCTGGGCAACACATCGGAAAGGGCCTCGTAAAAACCGCCCGGGCGGAACGGTGTTTGCTAACGAACGGAATGTGCAGGTGTGGCACCCCCCGTTTTCACAGGCGGTGTGCTGAGGTGGCCTGCGGGGAGCGTGCCAGCTGCACCTGCCAGGTGGGCGGGCCCTCGTCCTGCTGAGCTCCGGAGGGCTGTGCTGCTCAGCTGCCCCTTCCTCCTCGGCACCCAGAGGGCAGCTTGTGCTAATGTCAGAGCCACGCCTTAAGGCCCTCGAATCGTGGCCAAACAAGCCGAGAGGAGAGCCCACGCACCTCCCTGGGCCCGGAACTGTCCAGTGCAACAGCCCCTGGGGGGCGGCACTGAGTCTTGGCGTTGCCGGTGCCACCAGCAGGGGTAGGTGTTGGCCCCTCCTCCAGTGGACGGGCCTTCCAATGGCCACCGGCAAGGCGTTCCCATAGCGGCTAGTGAGCGCCCCCTACCGCACCCTTAGAGCCTGCACAGAACACAGGGCCTCCCGCCCCTCTCCGCCCTTCCCCTCCGCCTCTCCCTTTAGACTGAGACCTGGGACCCGGGAAAGGCCGCTTTCTTTGCCAGAAGAGCAGCTGCGACTCAGAACCAGGGCCCCCGCCCGGCTTCACGCAAGGCCTTGCCCGGCCACCGGCACGGTCTTCCCTGGGTCTCACCGGCCCCCGTGCTCTGTGAGCGCCCAATAAGCCTCTTCCTTCCCCGCTTGGAACACCAGCCCCGGGGCCAGGCCGGCTCCGTGAGCACACAGCGGGCACCGACCGGGAGGGAGCCCGTACCCAGACGGGCTGGCCCCGGACGGCCGACCAGCCAGAGGCCTCGGGGCACAGCCGTCAGGTCCACAGTGAGGTGGGCTCTCCCCTGGGATGGGCCCAGAGGACGCAGCGCACTAGGCGGGCGCCAGCCCAGAGCGCGCCTCTCCCTCCCGGGAGCAGCAGAGAGCGGTGTGTCCCCACCACGTGGCCGAGTCCCAGTGGACTGCGGGCTGGGCGAGAAGCTGGAGGCCGAGCAAGTGGGGCTGGCAAGCGAGAATGAGAGTACAAGCTGGCGTCTACGTGGCGACTTAAAACACACTGCTTTTAACAATAGAAATTTCCCTGAAAACGCAGATCCAGCCCTAGAGCAGAGAGGCCTGGTCGCAGGGCTGAATTCCTGCATAACCGACTGACATGGTGCTGAGGGGCTGCCCACTATGGACAGGGCACCTGCTCTCCAATTCGCCCCACTCCCCACCACTCCCTACTGCCTCTATCCCCGAAGCAAACATCACCGGATTACCCACCAAGAAGCCTGGCCTGCTGCCTTTCCCACAGCAAAGGTACTCTTTTTACACCCGCACCTTCCTAAGGCTGGAGATGAAGCTGTTTGCTCCCAGAGGGCAGCCCAGTTCAAGTTTGGGGGGGGGCCCTCACTCCGTCTCCTACATGGTTTTGGTTCCTCCACAATCAACTGTGTGACCTTGGCAAACAGCTTAGGCACCTGGACAGGGAGGGGTTACCGTCCGTCAGTCTAGCCCACCCCCGGGCTGATGTCTGGAGAGAAAAATGGGCCTAACAGGGCACACACTACAGGGTGGGAGCAATCAGCACCCAGCTCTGCCCCAGACCTGCCCGCGGCGAGTGCCATCCGGGGAAGGGCTCCTCCTTCGCCCAGCAGGGGGCAGTGCAGCCGGGGCTCCGGAGGACCGGCTGTGATGTTTTCCAGCTGTGTGGCAGTGTGACGGGGGTGCTTATTTCCCCTCTCTGACCCCTCCTTCCTCACCTGCGAGACGGGGTCCCCGGGTCCCCAGTCCCTCTCACAGGCTAGGCCAGAGCATGCAGTGAGGGCAGCACAGGGGACACCGGCGCCCCACCCAGCCCGCCTGCCCGCTTGCAGCCTCACCCTCAGGGGCTTTGTCCACCGTGAACCAGAGCTTGAAGCGCGCGGAATGCTCGTTCCTCAGCTCCTCCAGCTCCGGCCGCAGCAGGATGTCCTTCTCGGTCTGTGGGGACAAGTCCCGGGTCAGGAGGATGGCGGCAGGGACGGCGGCTCATCTCGCCTGCCCCGGGCCCACGCTCGGCACAGCTCAGCAGCCTCCCGGAAGCATCACCCTCAGCTCACACAGGAGCGGGTCAGGCTGCGCGGAAGGGGCTCCGTGCCCGTGCAGCTCGCAAAGGGCTTTGAGCTGTGGGGGGTGTGCTCGGTGCAATGGGAGTGGAGAGGGGGGAACAGAGGGAAGACGTGCCGGTCCCTACGGGGTGACTGATTCTTAAACTAACGTGTGGCTCAGCGATAGTTTCCATCCTCATCCCCGGGACAAGCCTCCAGGTTCGGGCATCTCAGGCTGCACATCCCTAAGTCAGGAAATCAGACGCCTGGCAGCCCACGGCCCCCGAGTTCAGCCATGGCCCTCTCCTCCGGGAAGCCTTCCCAGACTTCGCAGGGGCACGACAGGGAGTGTCCCTCCCCCCACACCATTGCCCACACTGGGTACCAACTCTGATCTTTGCCAGTCAGACCGATAGAAGGCAAATCGCATGTTTTCTATTTTACTAGTGACCCAGTACACGGATTAGTGCGCACTGAAAGGACAGGATTTAAGAGGTGGCAGGTGGGGTGTGACTGGGAGAGACAGGCCCGATACACCCTGGAGCCGGCCCCACCTGGGGCGGCACTACGGCTCGAAGGGAGTCTGCGGAGTGAGTGGGGTCCTCTGGCAGGTGGGGTCTTGCAGCCTGGTGGACTCCTGTGGCCCTGCTAGGGACGGGGTCCCTCCTCTCTGGTTCAGGGGTGCATCACCTGAGAACTGCCGCTGCCAAGTCACGGCAGCTCAGTTGAGTGTCTGCCCCTTTTGGTCAGTGTGCATCATACCGACTGGCTGGTCCTTAGTCTTTTACATACCGGTATATAATTAATAAGTCTGTCATTGCCTTGACTGGTTTGGCTCAATGGATAGAGCGTCAGCCTGCAGACTGACGGGACCCAGGTTCAATTCCAGTCACGGTTGCAGACACATCCCCAGTAGGAGGTGTGCAGGGGGCAACTGATTGATGTTTCTATTCCTCTCCCTTCCTCTCTGTAAAAAAAAAAAATCAATAAAATATATATTTAAAAAAAATAAGTTGTCATTGGTCTAGTCATCACTTTTATTAGTTTATAAAACTTTTAATATTAAGGATATTCATTTCTATTGGTGATGTTATATGTTTTTTCTTAGTTCTGTATCTTCCTACCTTGTTAATGTTTTCTCACCCAAACAAGAACATGGACATGCTTTTAATCCTCAGCAGAGAGCTCACTCCACCAGTCTTTCCTCTCCGCCTGGCTTAGACAGGCCGTCCCCAGCCACTCATTCACGCAACAGTCCTTGGAAAAACGCTCCCTACTTTCTAAGCTTCGGGGGGTTGTTGTTTTTTACATGTACATCTTTAACCTAAACCTCATTCTACGGGAGGAAAAGGAGGGACCTACTTAGTTTTTCCCAAATGCATAGCAACTAACCCACCATTCCTTTCCCCCTTTTGTATTTCTTAATTGTTATTTAACAGAGAGCCATTCCGAAGCTTACAAATGCTTCATGTTCAGGATCACGGGCCAGAGACAACCGTCCATGGTTTCACCCCAAAGGCATCCTTTACCTCCCACAGGTCACTCTGCCCTCAGAAGCCCCGCCTCCTCAGCTCCTCGGCCTTTCACGGCATCGTCCTCCCTGTGGGAACACACTCACTCTTCCCCCATAGGCGTGTCATCCCTGTGAGGGGCTGTGCTCATCCCTGTATCGTTCCAATTCTAGTACATGTGCTGCCAAAGCGAGCACCCAACATCCGCTTATTTTTAATTTTTAAAAACACATTTTCATTGATTTCAGAGAGGAAGGCAGAGGGAGACAGAGATATAAACATCAATGATGAGATAGAATCATTGATCAGTTGCCTGCTGCATGCCCCCTACTGGGAATTGAGTCCGAAACCTAGGCATGTGCCCTAACTGGGGACCGAACCTGGAACCCTTTGGTACACAGGTTGGCACTCTATCCACCGAGCCAAACCAGCTAGGGCCACCCAATACCCAATTTTTATTTTATTTTATTTTAGAGGGGGGGAACCAATGTGAGAAACATCTATCGATCTATCGGCTGCCTCCTGCATGCCCCCCACTGAGGATCGAGCCCACACCCGGCCTGTGCCCTCACCAGGAACCAACCAACCACTGGCAGGACTGAACGCCACGTTCCTCTGCTCAGGCTGCGATGTCCCTGCATCCATCAGTCTCAGACGCCTGGGCCTGTTCCCAGGTCCGCGTTACAGAACCTTCCGCAGTGAGGGCAATGCCCCAGGCCGGTGTCATCCGCTGCCGGAACCGCTGGCCACATGTGGCTACGGAACCCATGCAATGTGGCTAGCGAGACTGGAAAAGCACGTTTTCCATTTTGATCTGAATTTAAATGCGAATGGCCACATGTTCCAGCATGTTCCAGCATGTTCCAGCATGTTCCAGCACCGTCTGGACATTCGTCACCACCAGAAACGCAGCGGGACCAGGGAGCCTAGGTCTCACGTGCGGCTCTAGAGCTGCGGTTCCACCGTGTGCTTTTCTACCGGCTGTCACATCGGTGCTAAGTCCTCCCGTTACTCTTCCTGCTCAGAACGCCCTGGCTGCGCACGCACCATCTCTCTGACCACGCTGTGCTGTTGTCACGTGGAAGGGGGGGGCAATACCCCCGGAAACGAGTATTACTTTATAAGGAACCAGCTCCTTCACAGTATCAGCCCCCTGCTCTGAACTCTCCTTTAACGTCCTCGCTGGCGGTTTTTATCCGTGATGTTTTCAGAGGGAGTGGAGGGGAGGGGGGAGTGGGAAAGAGAGAGAAGCATCAATGTGGACACAGTGACTGCTCCGGCAGGTGCCTGACCGGGGCTGGGGATGGAGCCTGCACCTGAGGCACACGCCCTGACCAGGAATCGAATCCTCCACCTTCCGGCCGTGGGCTGAAGCTCTAACCACTGGGCCACCGGTCAGGGCTAATGTCCTTCTGAAAGGCGTGTTCCCTTAGGAGGGGCTTGGCGCGCGTCCTCCCTCTTGGGATGAAGCAGAGGAGCGACAAGACCTGGGTGGGCAAAGTGGCAATGCCCACTCAGCATGGCCTGTGAGCCGGGGTCCCAGGGACCCTCCAGAGCGTCTGTGAGGTCAGACGATTTCCATCTGATACGAGGACTTGATGAGCATCGTCCCCTCGTTCCCGCAGGAAGGCTGGGACCCTCTGGGGGCATCGTGGCCTGAGTCATCGCACCGAGTGCAGAACACGCATGGAGCCAGGCACCACAAAGGCTTCCTGACATGAAACAAAACGACGTTCGAAAAAATATGGCTATTTTCCACGAAATATGCGTGGGCTCCAGTGACTTTTCATAGAATACACTGGCTCCACCACGTCCTGTAGCGCATGCAGGCCACACCCTCTCTGGGGCTCCGTGTCCAGAGCTCAGAGGCAGGGCAGCCGCACCACCGCCCCGGCTACCGGCTCAGCGCGGGGACGGCCACTGGGAGAGGCTGACGGCCTCCTCAGAGACGCGCCCAGCACGGACAGGGCAGCTGCTGCCTGCCCTCCTGCTGCCAGCAGCTTGGAATTTCCGGCTCTTCCCACCCACCCCGGGCCCGGGAAGGCCGTCCTGGTGGCCACAGGGCATCTTTCTGTAACTGTGCAGTGTCCAAGCAGCTCAGGCCAGTCAGTTCCTCGAGCTCAGCTTCCTCAGACGGACGGTGCAGAGCCTGGGCCAGCCCAGCCCGCTCCTGGCACGGCCTCCGCTGCCGGGAAGGACTGTCTCACCTCGGCCTCCCCTGACGGGCGTCTCTGTGACACCCACATCCCCAGCCACGAAACACTGAAGGACAGACTTGGGATGGCCTTGCTCGTTTTAGCGGAGGGCTCAAAGCACAGAGAGGGAAAGTGACTTGTCCAAGGCCACACAGCAGGCCAGGGTGGGCAGGCAGCAGGCGTGGGGAGGAGGACATGCACTCAGAAGAGAGACCGAGCCCTGCCCCACACCCCAGCTCAGGGCCCTGGGGCCGGTGCACTCCCAGCGCCTCTCCGGTGACACGGCCCGTCCCCAGGCCCGCCCCAGCCCGGCCAGCATCTGCCCAGTTCACTGGCGGGTTCTGAGCTCTGCCCACGGAGGGAGCTCTGCCCACGGAGGGAGCTCTGCGGTTTGGAGGAAGCAGCCAGGGGAGCTCTCAGGTGGAGGTGTCTGTGCCTCTCCAACCCCCATGTGTCAGGCCAGACACGGGCTCTGGGCTGAAGCGCCCACCCCACCTGCTGCCACACAGGCTGCCGGGCACACGGCCTCAGAGCACCCTCATGCTTGCTGCCCCGAGCACCTCGCACACGTCCCCCAAGGCCCTGCGCCCCTCAGCAGGGGCCGGTCTGCCCCTCGGGAACGCCCACTGACCTGGTTGGCAAAGAGCAGGTGGCACACGGTGTGGTCATCCGGGTCCTTCATGATGGCGCGAATCACCTGCAGCATCGGGGTGATCCCTGCAGAACGGCAGCTGGTGAGCCCCTGCTGTACACACAGACGGGGGGCCAGCAGGCACCAGGGGAGATGCCAGGACCTGGGGCAGCCCACATCTGTGCCCCCCACACCCTCACACACCCTCACGCCCCCCACAGCGTCCACGCGCTGGGGACTCCGCCAGGGGCCGGACCACTCACCTGTCCCGCCCGCGATCATGCCCACCGACTTCACCGTCTTGATGACGGGGTTGGACTTCTTGTCCGGGCGGATGGCGAACTTCCCTGGGGAGGAGAAGGGTGAGGCCGGCTCTCCAGCACGCTGTCTGGGTCGGATGGGCTGGAGAGCCGGCCCCTGCTTGGGGGTGGAGGTGCAGGTGCCCACCGGCCAGCGCCAGCCAGGCGGGTAAGGGAGGGGCGGTGGGACACAGGGCCAACGGAAGGCCAGAGGAGCCCAGCGTGGCTCCCCCGTGCAGATGCGTGGGGAGCGGCGGAGGCTGGCACACGGAGGCTCCCAGCACAACCTCCCGCTGTTCTCAGCCTAACGAGGCTGGTCTGTGGGTCGGATGTGGCCTCCAAGGGCAGCCAGCTGCAACCCCTGCGCTGGCCCGCTCATCCCCTGTACAGCTGGGGAAACTGAGGCCCAGGAGAGAGCTTGTCCAACAAGCGTCACCCAGAAGCAGCAGTCAGGCCCTGCGCCGGCACCACGGGCCTGCGGGTCCTGGGGGCAGGGCAGCCCCCTCACCTTTGCCCTGGTAGACCAGCAGCCCGTTGGGGCCCCGGAACTCGATGGTGTCTCCGATCTTCATGCCTTCCAGGTACTGGGACATCTTCCCTCCGCTGGGAAACTTGGGGTGCGTGTCTTTGAAGTAAACCTGCAAGACACACCCACAGGCCTCACTCCCGTGCCCAGGGTTGTGGGGAGCTCTGAGCCTCATGGGAGTGACTTTTGGGGGTTCCTCTGTAGCCTGGGGGTGGCCCTGTCACAGAATGCCCCCCCCCACCCATTACCAGGTACCCGGCTGTGCCCCAGGAGTCTGCCCTCCCCCAGTGTGTCCTTGGAACGCATCGCGTCAGCCTGGGGTACAGAGGGCAGCGACCCCATGGCTTCAGCTGACCTATTAACGTTCCCCCAGGAACTTCTCCGTGACCTCCCGACGGGAGACTCGGGGGTCAGCTCAGTAAAGGCCAGCGGCTCTTCCATCCTCCCTGTCATCCTCACTCAGAACAACTTCCTGCCCGCCCTCTGGGGCCTCAGCTTGGGGAAAAGGAAGCGCCTCAGCCCTCAGACAGAGACGCGGAGACAGAGGAGCACCGGGCATGTGCGCTGGCCTTGAAGGGCGCCAGGTGACGGGCACACAGAAAGGCGGCTGGGAGGGAGGGAGCACAAAGCCAGCGGCCTGCCAGGGCTGGGGACCAGGGAGGAGAGGAGCCGAGGTGCCTACAGCACAGGGTGGGGTGTGGGGGAGGGGGCAGGGAGTGCAGGGGGAGGGAAGGGCAGTCAGGGCGCGCTGTGTGCCAGGGAGGAGCCAGGACTGGGACCGCCATCCTGGGCCATTGGCGGCCAGCGGGCCTCCCAGCCAGGAGGGGCCTGGTCAGCGTAAGGTTTTATCCTGTACTCGAACCCCAACACCTCATTCGGTCGGAGTGTTTCAATGAGGACAGATGCTCCAACCCTTGCCCCTTCCCTTTGCTTCTGCACAAGCATCTCCCAGCATCTCCCGGCCCGGCCTGCCTGCTGACCTACGGGACCTGACCCCTGCCCTGTGGGGCTTCAGCCCTCGTGCTTCCTCCTGACCTCACGCCTGTGCACCGAAAGGCCCTTCTCCTCTTCAGCTGTCGCTGCCGCCCGCTCAGCAGCTCTCACCCACCCTGCCCAGTGCCCATTCCAGGCTCAGCCCCGGGTCCCACATGCTCACTGCCGGCTCCCCAGCTAAGACGGGGTCCTGAGAGCAGGCTGGGGCCAGCGGGGGACTGAACAGCACTGAGCCAAAGGGGGGCCCAGGCAGAGCCAGCCCGGCCCCCCCACACCAATGGCCAGCGAGGGGGCCTGGGCCCTCACAGTGCAGTTGGGAGAGTCAGCCAGGGCCCGGGGGCTTGGGCCTTGACTGGGGATGGTCTGTGAAGGCCCCACCACCAGCCCCGCTGGTTCACACCCGCTGGACGTGGAATCAGAGGCCGTGGGAGGCTGCTGTGAAGTCTGTGCTGCTGGTTTTCATAAAAGGCCCTTCTCTCTCCGGGCCTTTACAGTCCTTGCTGGTCCGCGGCCGGTAATGGCTGATCCACAGCCTGTAAGCGGCCCCTCTCTGCAGCCCCCCGCCCACAGCTCTTGTGGCTGGATGCAGCGCAGGGGAAGGGAGCTGGGCCAGCTGCTCGGCCCTCTGCCCGGACGCCACGCGCGGCCGTTGCTGGTCGGTACATTTGCTCCTCGCTCAGAACCAGGCGCAGGAGGCACCGGGCCAGCAGAGACAGGGCTCGGGGGACGTGGTCCCCGGAGGCCTCGGCTATGGTGTGGTCTCCCCACACCTGTCTCCACGGGGCGTGGCCCAGACCTCACCTTGATGACCAGGTCCACGAAGCCCTTGTCGTCGTCACTGGAGACGGGCGTGTAGGGCCGAATGACCAGGTTTCCGTCGATCCGGGCCGAGAGGTAGATGTGCTGGCCTGCGGGACGCGCAGGTGACCTGGGTCAGGAGCTAGCCCCGCAGGGTCGCGGGGCCTTGTCACCCACCTCCCGGGGCCCACCCAGCATTCACCCCTGCCGTGCTGGGCTCCCGCTGCCAGCTCAGGGATGCCAGCTTCCCGCCAGCACGCCCCTGCTTGTGCTGAAGCCACTGCCAGGGCCCCGGGTGACTCCTCCCTCACTCGCTCTGACGCTTACTCTTAAGGCCACGGCAGCTGCCTCCTCCTCCTGAGGCCCTCCCTCGCTGAAGTGCAAAGTTCCCGCCTCTGACCTAGCACCCGCCTCCGGAGCTGGGTGGGCCGCACTCACCAATAGGGAGGCCCAGGATGTGCTGGGGTGATGGCAGGGCAAAGCGGAACCGCCGGGTGTCATGGTTGATGATCTGCAAAGAGGCCGAGCTGTGGGGCGGCACCCAGGGCAGAGGGGCCGCCAGGCCTCAGAGCCCCCTCCTCGCCAGTGCCCCCTAGTCACCGAGGGGAGTGACAGGATGCCGCGTCAGACCGTGTGTGAGGGCACAGAGGTCTCGCTGGCCCTGGGCCCAGGAAGCCTGCCAGAGCGGGAGGGGCACTCGGGCCCAGAGGGAGGCTGAGGTGGCCCAGAAAGTTCCAGGGGCAGGACGGAGGGACCCAGGGGCGGCAGGAGGAGCCCAGGGGCTGGCTGAGACAAGGCCCCACACGCGCTGGCCGAGGCTCCAGAGGCGCTTGAGAAAGCGCCGTGCCCCGGGGCGCCATGGCTGCGCGGGCGGCACAGGGCAGGAGACGTGGCAGCCTCGCGCCCAGTCCAGGGCGGGAGGGTGGCAGCCGTTTTCCCTCCAAGGCGGGGCAGAGGCTGGTCAGGGCGAAGGAGCTGGGATCAAAGCCCCAGAAACCCCGCTAAGTGGTCTGAAAGCGAGGCCAGGCAGGGGAGGGGGCGCCCCGTGACCCGCAGGCCGCACGCACCTCCTTGTCGATGAGCCGCAGTGGGTACTTGATGTCCGGGCTCTCGAGGGTGATGGCCGGGGCGGAGCGCTGGAACAGCTTCATGAGCAGGTTGTAGAGGAACCAGACTGGGGAGAGGACCACGTGGCCCAACTGGAACGACAGGGACAGACCGCAGGTCAGTGCAGCCTGGGGAGGCCTGCCACCCCCTTCCGCCAACACCAGCTGTGCCCTCTGCCAAGAGCCCCTCTCCTCACCGTCTGCACCAGGAACCCAGCCTGCATTCTGTGCCGGCTGGAGCGGTTACAAACACCAGCCTCCTGAGCCACCAGGGCATTACTGAGCACTGGAAGCGCTCCCTTTGCCCCGAGGAACAGAGATGATGAAAGTAGTACAAGATGGAGCACGCTTCCCTTTTCGCTCTGGCTGCCAGGAAGCTCGGGGTCAAGCTCCCAAGTAATTGTGCTTATTTTTATAGAGAGCACATGTAAGTCACCGTGTACCTGTGCTCCCTCCTCCCTTTCTTCCTTCAGTCACCTTCCCTGGTCCGATGAAACCCTATCTAGACAAGCAGACAAACCCGGGGCCTGGGGCTCGGCCCTCAAGTGCGAGTGGCGGCTACGGCTCTGAGCTGGGCTCTGGTCCTTGCTGGCTGTGTGACCCTGGGCAAGTCCCTTCCCCTCTCTGAACCGAACAGGACCAGGATCTGCAGGGTTTGGAAGCTCCGAGAGGTCACTGCTCAGCACCATGCTGGGCCCCGCACCGGCGTTAAGTGAAGCTCACGACAACCCAATGGGTTGGCACTGTCATCACCACCGTTTTACAAACGAGGAGGAAGCTCAGAGGTGACACAACTCGCCCGAGGGACTGGAGTCCACCTGCCTCCCCAGCCACACACGTAAACCTCAGACCCCCCACACCCCTCCGTGGCCCTGAGCCTCCTCCTTCCCAGCCTCTTGCCCACCCCCGCCCCCATCTCAGTCTCACAGAGACACTAAGGGGTGGTTTGGATCTTTTTAAAACCGAAAACCCAACACCGATGGCAGCATAGCTCACTGCTCAGCTTTACCTGGGGAGGACAGACACCTTGGCAAAGACAGACAACAGGCCTCCCGCCCTTTCTAGCTGTTTGGTCCCTGGGCACATCAACCTCTCTGAGCTCAGTTTCTCCATCTGTGAAATGGGGGTCATGAGCCGCACTCCCAGACTGTGAAGATGGAAATACGCCATGGAAAGGCTAACCCAGGCCAGCTTCCTGGCGGGCTGAGCCCACAGGGCATCTGCTGTGCCGCAGCCACCCCTTGGCCATCCGGAAGCTGGTCCTGAGCGGCCTCCGCTATCTGGGCCACAGGAAACGGGCGGGATGTGGTGAGCCTCCTGACGCCACGTAAGGGCCCACCACTGCCCTGTGGGCTCCGTCTCCAACCACTGAGGGCCCATCTCCAGAATAAGTGGCCACAACTTCAAAATGTCAATGCCCCTCCCCCGCAAACAACAAAGAAAGTCTGAGAAGCTGGTGCAGCTTACAAGGGGCTCTGGTAGGCTGAGTGTGGCCCCAGAAGAGATGTCCGCCCAGAACCTGGGAATGGACATCTGGAAAGGGTCTTTGCACACGTTACTAAACGAAGGGTCTTGAGATGAGGTCACCTTGGATTATCCCAGGGGCCTGAAGTCCCATGACAACCTTCCTTATGAGAGAGGAGGAGACTCCGAGACGGCCATGTGAAGTGATGGGGCCACAAGCCAAGGAAACCGAGGATGGCAACAGCCTCGAGAAGCAGGAAGAGGCGGGAAGGGCTCCCCTTGGCCCTCCCACACTCCCTTTCAGACTTGTGGCCCAGAACGGTGAGAGAATACATTTCTGCTGTCTCATGCCACCCAGTTTGTGGTAATTTTAGAGGCCAAGAGACAGAACAATTGAATGCAATGTGCAATGTGGATTAGGTCCTGGCCCGGGGGTGGGGGTGAACAGGTATGAAGAGCAATCCTGAGACAATGGTGAAATATGAATTCGGGCCCATGGGTCACACATTAGTGTTGTATCCATGTTACTTCCATGATTTGCTCACTACCATGCAGCAGGCAACAGAATGTCCTTCTTCTTAGGAGAAAGATACTGAAGTATTTAGGGACAAGGGAGCATCGTATCTCTAACATTCTCAGATAGTTAAAAAAATATACACACACAAGAAAGCAAATACAGCAAATGTTAACATTTGCATGGAGAGTATACGAGAGCCCTTTAGACAGTCTTCACTCTCAGTTTGAAATTATTTCAAAATGAAAAGCGGGGCATGGCGTAGGGGAGCCCACGCTGGTGGTGCCAACAGGGAGGCTGAGACCCACAAGTTCACATAGAGCAATGGCTCTCAAGAAAGCTGCTTCAGCCGAAACCGGTGTGGCTCAGTGGATAGAGCGTCGGCCTGCGGACTGAAAGGTCCCGCGTTCGATTCCGATCAAGGGCATGTACCTTGGTTGTGGGCACATCCCCAGTGGGGTGTGTGTGTGTGTGTGTGTGTGTGTGCAGGAGGCAGCTGATCCATGTTTCTCTCTCTTCGACGTTTCTAACTCTCTATCCCTCCCTCTTCCTCTCTGTGAAAACTCAATAAAATATATTTTTTAAAAAGAAAAGAAAGCTGTTTCAGCCCTGGCCCGGAGTTCAGGTAGTAGAGCATCACCCAATACACGGAGATTTCAGGCAGGCACATATGCGAATCACCAATGAATGCATAAATAAGTGCAACTAGTCGATATTTCTCTCAAAGCAATCCTATGTAATAAAAGCCTGATATGCTAAGTGTCCAGTCATCTGGTCAACCAATCAAAGCATAATATGCTAATGATATGCTAAGGCCACTCAACTTGCTATGATGTGCACTAACCACCAGGGGGCAGACGCTCCGACTGGTAGGTTAGCTTGCTGCTGGGGTCTGGCGGATCTGGACTGAGCGAGATGGGCCGGAAATCCCCTTGGAGCCTCCATGGTTCCTCCCCAGCTGGCCAGCCTCCCAGGCCCCTTCCTGGCCCCAGTTGTGCACTGGTGGGGTCCCTTGGCCTGTGCCCTCTCGTAATCCAGGGCCCCTCTGGCATGTCGGAGAGCCGGTTTTAGCTGATCCTGCAGGCCAGGCCTAATCCGTGCACCGGGCCTCTAGTCAATAAATAAAAAGTTGTTTCACAGCTTGTTTACTCACTCTCCCTAGGAAACCTCCCTGACTTCAGATCTCTTAGCAAATGACTGTGTGTTCTTATCATAATGCTACATATTCCCTTTTTACCTTGGCTGCCAGGAAGCTTAGACCCAAGTTCCTTACTTCTATGGGGGCCTCTCTGCTTCCTTTGTGGGACTCCTGAGGTGTCATATTCTATTTTTTATTGATTTTTCACAGAGAGGAAGAGAGAGGAATAGAGAGTTAGAAACATTGATGAGAGAGAATCATCAATCAGCAGCCTCTTGCACACCCCCTACCAAGGTACATGCCCTTGACCAGAATCCAACCTGGGACCTTTCAGTCCGCAGGCCGACGCTCTATCCACTGAGCAAAACCGGTTTTGGCCATATTCTTTTTAAAAAAATATATATATATGTTTATTGATTTCAGAGAGGAAGGAAGAGGGAGAGAGAAATATCAAAGATGTGAGAGATTCACTAATTGCTGCCTCCTGCACGCCCCCTACTGGAGGCAGAGCCCCTGACCAGAATCAAACCTGGGACCCTTCAGTCCGCAGGCCACCGTTCTATCCACTGAGCCACACTGGCCAGGGCGAGGTATGGTCCACCCATTCTATCCAATGAGCCACACTGGCCAGGCGAGGTTATGGTCACCGTTCTATCCACTGAGCCACACTGGCAAGGGCGAGGTATGGTCACCGTTCTATCCACTGAGCCACACTGGCCAGGGCGAGGTATGGTCTTCTGCAGAGCACAGACCTAGAAGTGGCCCCTGCCCTACTGCTCCCCACTTCCTGGAAACTCCCCCCACTCTCCCTCAACCGGGAGGCTCTCTGCGCCTCGGTGCTCCCTCTGGAGAAGGAAGGGGAGAGCCACTGCCCTGCCCGCCTCCTAGGGGCCCTGGGATGTGAGAGGAGCTGGGGGTGCACAGGTCACGGGGCCGTCTATACCCTGGGAATTGTGGGTCCACACACAGGACTTTTCCTGACAGCCTCGTGGGGCCACTACCCCTGGGAGCTGGAATGCCAAGCGAGGAAGGGCAGAGGCTCCCGGATCCCACACCAGCCTGGCCCCGCCTCCCAAACCTGTGCAGCAGCTTCAAGCTGCCTGGCTGCCTGAGGTCACAGCCCTTGGTTGGGCTCAGAACAATGAGTGTCTCTCCCAGGCAGGGCCTCAGGGGGCCCCTGGCCTGTGACTGGAGGGTCTGAAGGGAAGGCCTGCAGGAGCCGGCCCGGGCCCACCTGCCCAGCTAACCAGCACCCACTGTGTCCTGGTCTCATTTAAGGCCCTGCTGGCAGCCCAGGACTGGGTCCAGAGACCAGGGTTCGGGGCCCAGCTCCAGCCTTCAGGAGACTCTCTGCCTCTCCAATCCGCACCTTTCTCAAGTGCACGAGGGTGGTCCCATTTCCGGCTGGGAGGAAATGCGGCAGGAAAGGCTGACACTGCTTCAGGTACCGGACATGGTTCCTGGGATAATCCTCCCTCCAACCCAAGGCCTCAGGTGCTGGCAGGAAACAGGCCCAGAGAGGCCCAGTAACTTGCCCCAAGTCACACACACCACGGCCAACCCTTGGAGGACCACACTCGTGACAAGTGACACTGTTGTCCCTGTTTCTCAGAGAGACTGGGTGAGTTGCCCATGGTCACGCAACAAGTCGGGCGGAGCCTGGATTCAAACCCAGGCCTGTCAAGTCCAAAGAATGGCTCTTCCCAAGCCGCCTCTGAGGGCCCCAGTCACAGAGCCCAGAGCCCCACTGACCCGCACAATCCGATATCCCTTCTCCAGGGTGAGCCCTCAGCTGCCCAACCAACAGGCCGCTCCACCCCTCCTCAAACACCCACCATGGCTCCGCAGGATGATCCCAACACCAGCCACAAGGCCCTCTTGCCTTTGGCCTTTGCATATTCTCCCTTTGCATATAGGCCTTTGCATATTCTGCCCACAACACCCTTCCCCTTCCCTCAGCCAACCAGCAAACTCCTA